TTTTAAGTTAGAGCAGTAGTTCTCAGCCAGGGTAATTTTGCCCCTCTGGGGACATTTGGCAATGCCTGGCATCCTTTCTGGGTGTCATGCTGGCATCTAGTGGGTAGAGGCCAGGGGTGCTGTCAGTACCTATGATGCACAGGACAACTCCCACCACAAAGAATTATCCAGCTTCAAATGTCAGTAGTGCCAAGAAGAAGAAATCTTGAGTTAGAAAAAGAACCAACCAGCTGCTGCTATTTTCGCAAAAGGTGTGATGAGCATCTTTTCCTCCATTAGACATAGTAGCTGTTCATGAAATAAGGGAGCTGATGTAACTAAAAGGCTATTTTGAGAATCCAGTAGCCCTAGTCCTAGGGAGGTGCAAAGGAAAAGGGTAAGGAGAGTAGGAAGCTGCTGAGTGGGAACTGAGAGTTTATCATTGTTTCTTTTAACCACACCAACAAAAGCTGTTTTAGATAAACCTACTGCCTGCCTCCTTGAAGGGAGTGACAATTCTAGAGACCTTGAAGAGCTATTAGTTTAAGTTTTGAGGTAGATAATGGGGCCCCTATTTTATGCTTGAAGAAACTGAGGCTCAGTGGAGTCAAGGACTGTGAGTCAGGAGGTCACCTGATTCTAAGTGGGAGCATTTTTCCAGGACTGGGTTCAGCCAAAAGCCTTCCAGATCCTTATTCCTCTGCTCTAATGTTGAAGATTTGTTTTTGCCGAGGATCATCCCAGGAAAACTGAAATGTATGTGGGCCATGTTTCTTGAAGTTTTGTTTTGTTTTTAAGTATGACCTTTTAAAGTCAGAAAATGAAATCTCTGCAACTGTACTTAAGCATCCTTTTATTATTTAAGTCATTGAAGGATCTGAGGGCTTTTTCTTTCCCCAAAATTTAGATGCATGCTTTTTGGTAACCAATTATAACACTGCATCTTTGAACAAACTTTGTCACTGAGTAATCTGATTTATTTCTCCCGTTGACTGACTATGTAAGCTCTTTAATTACAAAATGTGGCCTTTCTCATAACACCTTAATATCAGAATTTTGGAAAAGACTTTTTCCCATGGCAAATGTGATGAACTGCAACATCTTTAACAAGAAAACATTCCCCACTCTACTTACTTTGATACACACGGTTTTATCAGACACTTCACTTTTTGGTGTTGGGGTTTTAAATTTTATTGAGAAAATGGTTCGTTCTTTCCACATCACCACTGGTCTCAGACCAGAGAAATGAATGCCCTGCTCTCATGATTAGCAGGCAGGCTGTCAGTTGATGCTGCTAAATCTCTGTATCCACAGAGAGCGGTGGGGTGGAGTTGAGAACCGGAGCAGAGCAGGGCTGACTTCGTTTCTCTCTGTGCCTCTGTTTCCCCATCTCGGATGTGAGGCTGTTCATGATATTGACTAGCCAGGCAGTTTGCATGTGGGCAGTGGGTTGCTCCACCCTATTCACCAGTCACCTAAAGAAAGCAACTCCAAGGACAGCATATGAAAAAATGCCAGTGTCTAAGACAGGGTATGGGGCTTATTGTGGTAGGAAGGGCTTCCTGGATGAGCACATAAACTGTTTTCTTTCTAACACCTACTCTACTCTTTGCTAACCTGTGATCTTGGACAAGTTACCTATTCTCTTTGTGTTTCAGTTATCTTGTCTGTAAAATCGGGTGATGGGGTAGATACTATTATTATGAGGATTGAATATGTGGCATTCTTAGAATAGCACCTGGTGGAAAGGAAATGTATATGAGTGCTTGCTACTTTTACTATGGAAAAGATAAGATTTGGATTTCATTCTTTTTAATACCCAACCTGGTTCAGCAAAAGCATCTGAAAAGTGGGTTTGGCACATTTTGCTTCATCTTTTGATGGAATCTCAGCTCCATCCAAAGAGCCCTGAGTTAAAATGCCTCAAGGCAGTGTTTTTCAAGTATGTGGAACATTTGGAACAATAGTATTGCAGAATGTTAATAGATGTTACTTTAAGAGTTTTATGGTCACGTCAGCTTGGCAAACTGGGTTAAAAGAAAGCAAACAGGGCCCCTTATTTCAGGCCTTTTCAGACCATCTAATTTACTATGTGCAATGGGAATATTTGTGCTAAGGTCTTAATATTTAGGGTTTTGCAAACAAATTTGGCCAAGGAACCCCTTTCTGTTAGACCATCTTTAGAGACCAGTTTTCCATGGAACACTTTGAGAATGCTGCCATATAGACTAGTTGACTTTTATAAACCTTGAACTCGCCATGCCAGCACTGTAAGCATATTACCAGATGCTCAATAAGTATTATTTGAATAGCCATTAAGGAACTTACTAGAATGTAGATGAGTAGAATAATTAGAACTCAAGACAAAGTCATTTACACAGATAATCCTTGATTTTTATTGCGGTGTATTTTGTGTTCCAGAAATTGCATCAGAAAGTAGAACTGTAAAATCAAAAAGACAAACAAACCTTCTAACCCTTCTCTGGCACTCGGTGTTGTTATGGCCAAAATAGTTTACTCTATACTTGCAAGGCATGCATTTCCCCTTTCTGCCACAAGATGGCCCTTTGCATCTCGAATCAATAAAGATTCCATTAGAGTTAATCATTTTCCTGAGACCTGCTGGGTGGGGAAAGGGACATATGAGTGAACTATCAAGATGAAAAGTGAACTATAGGTATTTTAAAGGGGATATCAGTGTCAAAAAATATATACCTGCGTTTAACGAAGTGCTAAAAATTCAGGAAAGAGGCCAAATTATTGTGAATTGGAATGAGCAAAGAAAGCTTTGTAGAGAAGGTGACATGAGCCAGGCTTGAAAGACCTATGCAATATAGATAGACAGATGTGATGGGAAAGGACATGACAGGCAGAGGTGCTGAGGAAGAAGGGGACATGGCATAAATGGGACAACTAGGTAAACAGAAAGAGCAGAATTTGAATGTGTGAGTGAGAACTAGGGAGAGCAGAGGGTTATGGATGCTGGCTCTTCTAGTGCTATATGTCCATCCTTTGGGGCCTGAGTCAGTCTCCCCTGCTCCCTCCTGTGTTTTGTTTGTCACTGCTCCCTTCTACTGCCCACTACTGCCCACTACTGCACACTGCTCTTCCTAAAGTCCTCTCCTGTCATTGTTGGTGAAGAAACTGCCTCTACTGCCCACTACTGCACACTGCTCTTCCTAAAGTCCTCTCCTGTCATTGTTGGTGAAGAACCTCTAGTGGCTCCTCAGGCCAGCCATATCCGGTTCAGACCCCATTCAAGCTCAGAGTAACAAGAACACGCAGAAGCAGTTTTGTTCCCTTGACCAATTAGTTTAGGAAATGTGGGGCCCTCAATTATCTATTCTTGTAATTTTTGTTTAAGTCAAAACTCCATGATCCTGGAAAGAGTTCAGAATATAATGTGATGTCAGTAGAGACTACAAGCCCTCTACAGTGTGTGTTCCCATCTTCCATCTTTATTTATTTACTTATTTTTGCTTGACAAGTGCATATATATATATATATGTTTGTGTGTATTTAGTGATTTTTTAAAAGTTTGGAAAGATAGAGAAAATGTTTGTTATTATCTCTGAGTGGTGAAATTCTCTTTTGACTTCCTGTATTTTCTAGTTTTTTCTTAAATGAGCATGTAGTATTGCATGCTAAACAAAAGTTATTAATAAAAAAAACTCATTTAGCTTTTCATTCCATAAAATGGGGATTAAGACATAGCATGGAAGCCTGGTGAGACATCAGTAAGTATAGAAGCTGAATGACTATAGTTCATCGACTGGTTGTTTGCAAGTTTCTTAAAATTAGCTTGGGAGAGATAAATACATTTCAAGGTCATTGGAAATAATCATGGCAATCTCTTTTAAGAAAGTTCAATCTTTCAGCAAGCCACAAAAAAAAAGAAAGAAGAAAGTTCAATCTTCCAAATGATTCTGGGAAGAGGGCATAATAAAAAAAGAAAGTTTTCTTTTCCTATTTTCCCAGATTCAAATCAGACATCAAGAACTCTAACCTGTAGCAGTTCTTTATCTGAGGTCCTTTGATAAGCTCCTGAAATCACATGTTAATTTGTACATAATTGCATATGTGCACACTTTTCAGGAGACAGTTTGTTTTAAAAAGAAGTTAAGAACTAAAAGTTAAGACCTGGAGAGTCTACTTTCTGAGAATCTTGAGACAAAGCCATTGCTTCTGGTGCTAAGACCACCTTAATTGGACAGCTTTATGACTGAGCAAGGTTAAAATGACAGAGAAGAACCAGTAGTGAAGATGCTGCTTACGTGCAGAATCATCTTGTGGTGTAATGTGTTACTGATTTAAAAATTTCCAGAAACAATACTTCCAAGCAAATGTTGTCTGCTTGTCCTAAATGTCCTCAATAATGTTGACTGACATATCTTTGGAATTTTCTTTAGAGCTCATGACACATTCATTTGAATTGCCTCAGTGATGGCAAATCTTGCTCTTTGGGGATGAATTTGGGTTTGATAAATAGCTAAATTTTATCTAAAATGAATACTGGTGAATAAAGAGGTAATCAAGTTGGGCAAATACCCATTTTAGGCAAAAAATGAATATAGGTAAATCACAAGATGTTTTCTTGGTCAATTTACTTATCTTACTTTTAAGCATCCAAAAACATTTTGAACAACGGTGACATCACTAGAAAAAGCATGTAGCTTCCAGAGGCAATTGTTTTGAAAGACAATATCTGGATATATCTAACATATGTGGGGACTTTTAAGCATCCAAAAACATTTTGGACAATGGTGACATCACTAGAAAAAGTATGTAGCTTCCAGAGGCAATTGTTTTGAAAGACAATATCTGGATATATCTAACATATGTGGGATTCTTTACGCTATAGGCAAACCTCAGGCATGCATATTAGTTTTCATCTAATGTGCTATTTAGTGTAGGCTTGCTTTTTGTATTGTGTCTCTTTGGAGTTGTAATGCCTGTTTGCCTTTGTTCTTTTTACCCAAAGTTAAAAAATTTTTTTTTCTTCTGTGAAACTGCCAGATATATTGATGCAGCCAACGCTCTGGAGCAAGAAACTAAACTGGGGTTACGACGCTTTGAAGTTTGTGACAACATTGATCTTGAAACTATTTTGATGGAATATGAGAGCTATTATTTTGTAAAATTTCAAAAATACCCCAAAATTGTCAAAAAGGCATCAGACACAGGTACATGGCTGTTTTCTAGAAATAAGGCTTTATTGCATCTTTAAGATCAGTGTTTCGCCTTCATCTTAGTACCAGATAAATGGTGTCCCTCACACACTGCTGGAAGAGTAGACCAGAAAGATTGTGTTGCTTATCTCAGATCCAGTGCAGACAATTTAAACATGATCGTCTGGACACTGACAACCCTTTAGCCATGCTGGCATTCGTTCGAAGAATGTGTTTTAGGGCAATGAAAGCAAAACCCCAGTGTATTGCAGGTACTTTTCGGAAGACCAACATTACTTTAATTTCTTCAGAAGTGGAAAGAGCTGTTGGAAGAGGATAGATGGCAGCAGGCTTTTTCTTGTTAGGAAGACCCATCTATTATCTATCTTGAAAATAACATGAAAATGAGTTTTGGTGAAGCTAATAGCTCATGTATAGATAATGAAATGCTTTTGAAAGCCATCAATCCAGATAATGATCAATATAATGCAAAGACCCAGTATAGGTTAGCAGTCAACAAGGCTGGCTGGAGGAAAGACCTAAAGTGAGGTCCCTGTGTCTTGTAGGTGCATTGACTTAAAAGTCTGTAAGTGGGGGAAGTAATTATAAACCAAGGGAGATCATTGTCCTGTTTACAAGGCACT